CTACACTATTTTTTAAGCTTTAAACTTTATAAATAAATATAAAACTATATTTTAAGGCTATCACAAAGATTTTCAATATTGAAACCACATTTCTCGAAACTATTTGAAGGTAGGCTCTAATTTGATTGTTTAGAGCCTAGGCCCTATACAAACCACACCCTTATTTGTAACCATCCGATGTGAAATCTAATAGCTTAGGTATGTCACAAAATTCAAGAATTTTTTTTTTTGGAAACTTTGAGCTAGATTAATGGAATAAATGTAGCTACCCAATTTCACATCCAATGGTTAAGATTAATTGTGACCACCTTATACTAAAGGTTAATAATATTAATTTTAACATTGATAAACACAATAGGTCTGCTACCGGCTTAAAAGTGTAACCTTCAAAATGCAGTATAAGGATCGAGCCAACTAGCAAACTTGTAAAGGGTCTGGTCCACACAAAATCAATACAATTGATGATCAAACAGGTTAAACATGAAGTTCACAAAAAAAAAAAAAAGAATATAGTTTAAAAACATATAATATAATGTAAAAAGCTTAAGTTTGTTTAAATAATCCAACCTATCAAAACTAGCTGGTCCAACTGGTTAATATTGGTTTAAATAATAATTTTAACCATGTTTTGATCATACCCAGCTTTTTTTTTGAATCATACTGGCTGGGATACAGTTTGGAAGTTTGATCGGTTGGACTAGTGGTTTCGTCCAGTTTTGATAAATATATTACAAATATGCATAAAAACACACATTAATACGTTTAGAGAATTACGGGTATGTATGAACTTCAAACTTTCATCCATTGTTTCATCGAGGACACTAAATTTTACATGAATAAACCTAAGGGGGAAAAGTGCATCAAGTTACAAAATGTTCCACTTCCTCTCCACAGCGTTTTAGATACGACCAGTGCAACATGCGGCACTCAAAGGGTATTTTGAAACTACAAAAAAGAATAGAGAAAGTAAATCAAGGATATTCCCCACAGCTGATGAAAGAAAAAGACATGACAAAAAAAAAGAATTATTGAAGAATTTGGAGGGTTGGCCAACTCTTGATTCCACTTTGGTTTCAAAGGATTCGAAACCCAAAACACATCCCAAATCACTGTCATCCATTTCCATCTCAGATACATGAAATTAGAGCTCCTAAAGCAGTGCTGACATGATGGTGTTTGAAGAATCAAAATTAATGTACCACAAAAAGAAAATGTATAGAATAGATCACTTTTAGGTCTCAAACCAATGTTTGCAAAACCGGCCCGGTTATGTGGACCTGCCCGTTGGAATATCCGGTTTTGGTGGACATGCTGGGATTTTAAAAAAATTTCAAAATATAAAATAAAAATCCAAAACATTAATTTGTATGTGTTTTTTAAGTTTTTTTAATATTTTGACACGAAGATTGGAAATGTTAAGGCCCACGTTAAGCAAGGGAGGAATCATAAAAAACAATCCAACTTGATAGCCCAGCACTCAAGTCCAAGCCCAAGCCCGACACTTGGGCTAATATTCCTTCTTGAAATAAAACAAACTCAGCTAAATTCCAAATGGATCCATACATAAAGATATAACTTACTCGTAATATCTTTAAGCATTCATTATTTTTAAGGCAATATATTTTTAGGCATAACTGCTCTACGGAGTAATTTCTCCTTTTTTCTATCGTACTAGATAATTTGCTAAAATCTTAAAGCATCTCTCAAAAGTCATCCAGTAATAATTAGTAGTTTAACTGAAGAAAACAAAGAGGGGCAATGATTCCATGCAATGGTTGTATAGTAATATGATGCAACAACTTTCAAAAACTATGTTATAGCCATTTGTTTGATCCAAATTTTGAAATATATATTATTTTCATTCTAATAAACAATCATAAAAAAGAAAAATTTAAGAACACAACTTAGAAAGTATTTTTTTGGCCCAATTAACATAAGCCACTCATTTTGGTGAGATGCTTAGATCTAAGCTTTAGAATGATTTTTTCATTTCCAATTTTTTTTGGATGGTTTTATTATCATTAGATGAACAATGTTAATAATAATAATAATTTTGAGTTTATGAAGGCAAAGATCATGAAACTCACCAAATAAATCATGTAGATTCATTTTTGGACTCATTTTGACCATATCTAGGGTTCAACTTGAACTTTTTTTTTATTGATAATTGAGATGAAGAGAGCATGTGTGCAATATTTTGGGTCATACAAATACTACAAACATGATTTTCTAGAAGTGTTGTTATATTACACTATGATACAACCATTGCATTAAATCACTGCCTAACAAAGAGATAAGTGTAATAGAATTAAAAAGGAAAAGAGCCCAACCAGAAGGCAATGCATATCAAGACATAAGTAAATCCTAGTGCTTTTCAATCCCATTCCCATTTGAACTTATTCCACAAAAGCTAGAAATATGGAACGGTATATAATATTCCTTATCAAAAAATTCAAGATTGTGATAACAAGTCCGGTAGATAATCTTCCTTATCAAAAACTTCAAGATTGTGATAACATGTCCATTGTTCACATGTAGCAAATGAAAATGAAAAACTCAAATTGGTCAAATAATTTTTTGAGTTACAATATTGATATTAAAAAAAGGAAAGAGTTTATATATAGTTGAAACCTTAAATTATAGAATTGTGGGGAACATCAAAGATCTATCCAAAAAGGGCTATTTTCCTACTGGAAAACCACCGAATTGATCATCTTGATATCGAGATGTATAGATGAGGGTAAAAAAATAAAATGATTTCAAGTCCCAAAAATAGTACATCTTGCAATACAATATTTGGACTGGCCATTTTCCATATTTTCATACAATAGATCTACATGATTTGAACCATTTTTTTGAGTTCAAAAGTTTATAAAAAATTAGTCACCAAAACTGCATCTTACGAGAAAGTTTAGAAGTGTGAGAAAGTTTATAAGTGTGCTTTGATTGTTTAACATTACAACCTTATGCAATGTCA